CTGGCACCGGCCGTACCTGCCAGCCCCTAGGAGATGCCTTAAACATTCCCTACATTGTCCTTTTAGATAGAGCTGGAGAGAAGCCATTATTCAGATCACGAAATCCGTAAGCTGGAGGAAGAGGAGCAGCTCAGGAGGAGGAAGGAAAGCGCCTACGACGAGGAAGAAGCGGTCGGTAAAACCGTCATCATGGCCCAAGACCTGGAGGATAAGTGGGAGCAGAAGTTGCTGCGGTTCAAAGCCGCGCCGAGGGTGACAGGTAGAGGTTGAAATTACTTATAAATTCCTTTTTGGAAGCATAAGTGCAGTCTGACAGTGGCTTCCTGCGTTGGCTTCCTCTCAAGCATCTCTAGGTTTTAGTTTTATTCCTTGTTTATGTGCTGTTGCTGGAAGGGTTTGAGATGCAGGGCGTTGGTGAATCAAGAGCGTCAGAGGCACTGTACAAGAAATGAGCTTCTAAATGGGAAGCTTTACGTTATATTTTCAGTTTGACAAAGAGGAGGCTGAGGGGGGATCTCATCGTGCTCTACAATTACTTGAAAGGACGTTGTAGAGAGGTTGGTGCTGGGCTCTTCTCACAGGTAATTAGGGATAAAACCAAGGGGAATGGTTGCAAGTTGCAACAGGGCAGGTTTAGGCTGGACATTAGGAGGAAATTCTTCACGGAAAGAGTCGTCAGACACTGGCACAGACTGCCCAGGGAGGGGGTTGAGTCGCCATCCCTGGATGTGTTCAAGTGTCGTTTAGATGGGGTGTTGGGTGATATGGTTTAGAGGTGACCTTGTAGTGTAGGGTCAATGGTTGGACTTGATGATCCCAAGGGTCTTTTTCCAACCTGAATTGTTCTATGATTTTCGATTGTTTGTTAATAGAAACTTGATTTTGAAGCAGATGTACAGCAACTGTAGATAGCGGTATAAATGTTTGAATACTCTTTTCTGTGGTAGTTCTGAAGAAGGGTGTTGTGATCATTGAAGCTGAGTTGTAATGAACATCTTCAGAGCTGGAATGAAGTCTAGAAGGGATTAATAAAAAATTGGGTGTTATTTTGAGTAAGGCTGCCCAGAGAGGTTGTGGAGTCTCCTTCCCTGGAGACTTTCAAACCCCTCCTGGACGCGTTCCTGTGTGGGTGCCCTGGAGGATCCTGCTCTGGCAGGGGGGTTGGACTAGATAATCTCTAGAGGTCCCTTCCAACCCCTGACATTCCATGATTCCATGATTCTGTGTTCCCAGCATGTTTTGTTTGGGTCTTTTTGGCAGATGCCGACAAAAACAACAACCGAACATCGCTGGACAGGAGACTGGACAGTAACCTGATGCTTCTGGTGAAACAGAAAATCGGTAGCCAGGAATTGTGGCTCCTCCCTCAAGCGGAATGGCAGCCTGGAGAGACCCTGCGAAGCACAGCTGAGAGAGCCATGGCTACATTTTTGGGTGTGTAGTTTGCCATGTGCCTGGCCCTCCCTCCTTTTTGTCCATGTGATTTTCTTCCCATGCACTTTCTGAGGGATATTTGCCATCTACTGTGGTGAAATTGCCTCCTGTCAGCTGGGAGGAGGCATTCTGTGGCAGAGGGATGGAGCTCCATGGGGTGGGCTTTCTAGCAAGAGCCATGATCCTGAGCAGCTGTGCACTGTTGCAGCGTGTGGAGGGCTGATGGGCTGCAAGTTGGGATCTCTGGCTGCCAGCAGCTGCGGTGCCAGGTCTGGCCCTTCCAGTCTGATGTTGAAGCGTCACAAGATGCCCCCAGAATGTTGTAGGCTTGGTCTAGGTGTGCGGCTTCTCTTTCCTGCTCATCACTCTGCTTTTGAGGCAGGTGGGTGGTGGCAAACCCACATATCCTCACTTTTTGCTATGGACCGGCAAGCTTGATAGCCTCTCCCTCCCTCTGTCCATCTAAGAGGACTTGCTGGGCTTCAGACAAGTCCTTTTTTTGTGAGAAAAGGCTTCCAGTTAGCATATTTCTGCCAAGTCAGTCTGAAATGGGTAGAAGGAGTGGCTTATGCTGCCTTTTTGTTATTACAGGAGAGTAGTTACTGTTGCTCTGTGTTCTTACATCTTGTTTTCTTTCTCTTGCATTGCTGGGGTCTTGCAGGAGATGACATTCAAGCCAAAATCCTGGGGAATGCGCCATATGGGATTTACAAGTATAAATTCCCCAAGGCCATCAGGACTGAGAATAATGTGGGAGCCAAAGTGTTCTTCTTCAAAGCCTTCCTCCAAAGCAGTGGTTTGTCCCAAGTAAAGCTGAAGGAAGATTACCTGTGGGTCACAAAGGACGAGCTGGGAGATTACTTGAAGTCGGAATACCTGAAAAAAGTCAATCGATTCCTTCTGGACTTGTAAGCGATAGACTGTGCTCTGGCAGATGGGGAAGATGTTGGGACACGACTCCAGGGAGGAGCACAGCTGCTGCTTTGCATGGTCTGTGTGTATGAGATATTAACGTGGGCTCTGGAGGATAATTTGCCTTTCCCTTATTTCCTAGTTCTCTTCACCAGGCCTGTGCAGAATAAATATTAAAACTGAGAAGTGAAGCTCTCCTGAGGGAGTTCATTGCTCTTGCTGAAGCCTCCTACTCCACCTCTTCTGGAAATGCATGTTGTGATCTCTTCCTCTCCCAAGTGTGTGATTCCCTAGGGCTGTGGTGTGCAGGAGGCTCCTTTCCTCACCAGACTCCTGTTGTAGGCTCGAGTTCAAATGGTTTCTTCTGTGCAGTGGCTAATACTTCCCTCTGGTACCTGCTCTTTAGTAAGTGCAGCACTGGAGGGTTATCTGTGTGTCCAGGAGGGAACAGACCCTCCTGGATTCAAGGCTGGGCAAGATGGGTTTCTGGGGAGATGAAAGCTGGAATATTCACAGCTTATTAATGTTTAATTTGTGTTGGAGCTGCCTCTGGTCTAAAGCCTGTGATACGCCGTGAAGGACACAGATCCATGAGAAATAGGCAGCAGCTCTTTCTTTGGATGAGTTCTGCTTTCCCTGATATGTTACCCTCCTCTTGAGCCTCAAGCTGTAACAACAGACACTGAAGGAGGGTAGTGCTTGAGCAGCAGCCCTCTGTCTGGGCTGCGAGGCTGGTTTTTCCTGGCGGGGAATGGCTATTCTCATGCTGCTGCATCCTGGGAGCAGCCTTGGAGGTTACCCTGGGGACTTCTCTGCTCCCATTCCTGATGTGTTAGACAGCACCACTAACCCAGCCCAGCTGGGTCTGTCTCAGGTAGCCTAACCTTATTACCTTTATTTCTTTATTAGAAGATCTGTCCTGGATTTCTTTCACCTCTGAGGCTGGTTCTATTTCCTGGAGGGTTTTTTCTGGTTGTAAATGTTGCTGTTTGATAGTCAGTGTGGGCCCAGTGCTGGCTGGACCTTGCAGAGAATCAGCCTCCCTCAGCAGCAGGCAGAGAGGGAGGAAATAGCTGTCGTTAATCACTGGGAGAGAGTTTGGCCTCCAGAGGTGGAACTGGAGATTGCTATATGTATTTTATCAATCCTTTGGGAGCTGTTGAGCTGCAGGCCTCAAATTAAAGCTATCCTTAATCACTCCACGAGCCATTGGGGTGGTGGGGTAGCACAGCAGCCTTCAGATTTCTAATGCTGGGCAGCTGGGAGCTGCAGGCTTGCCATAAATTACCAACAAATTTTTGAAGCACCCTTGCAGGCCTGGTGAGGAGGTTGTGTCTGCAACAGAGCACTTGCAAAGGGGAAATAAATGTGGAGCAGGATACATGCCTGAAAACCTGTGATTATTGTTTTTTTGGCTGCTGTCTGAGGTTGGTATTGCAGAAGAGGAGACTATTGCCTTCTCCAGGACTTGAAAGCTCCTGCAGAGGGGAGAGGATGGTTTGTATCTTATTTCCTCTCTGCTCCTAGAGGTTCTGTGGCAGATCTCTGAGGCTGTTATTTTCCTTTGAGAACTTGGTGCCTGCAGGTTGTCTTTCTGTTTGTACTGTTGTAGAGTTGCAGAAGTCTGATCAGGCAGGCTGGTGGTAAAGGAAAGGATAGCATAAACCTTTTCTGAGGGAGTTTTTTCTGGAACTGAAGAAACATCTTGAATTGTGGCTGGGAGAGAGCTGCTGCCGCCGTGGTGTGCCTCCTGCAGTCCTGCACAAAGGGCAGGGGGAGCATTTAATTTGCATGGAGTGTGAAACACAAAATTGCCCTTGCAAACATGATGAAGAACCACAGCAGTGTTTGCCTGGGTGTTGAGAGAACCTGGAGCTTGTTTGCACCCAAAGCCTGGAGGGTTTTCCTCACGTTGGCAAAGGCCTCCTCGTGTTAGATCGCTCTGCTGGAACCTGAAGTACAGTAAGTACCTGGGAAGGCACTGACTTTGCTGTGGCTCTTCAGTGCAAGGCAGAGTCAGGTCAATCAAAGAGCTCTCCTGTGAAGTGTGTACCGGGGAGAGGTGTTTTGGAAAGGACCTGTGACTCCTTGCTTTGAGAGCAGCGATGTGGGGCTCGTGTAAGAAGTCCAATGTAAGATCGGTGCTGTGGCAGCTGGCAGCAGTATCTGAGCATTGTCCTCCCCTGAGGGCACACACCAGGGACGAAGCTGGAGAGCAGTCAGGCTGCAGAGACTTTCTGGTCCTCAGAGTTGTTTTCAGCACAGGATGCTTCTATTCATGAGGGTGATGCACGAAAGCCAGATCCTTCCCTGCTCCGAGGGGGAAGGAGGCATATCAAGATGACCTTTCCTGGTGTGATGCAGTCCAGCAGCTGTAGCTAAATGCCTCCAGGAACAGAAACAAATGGAAGGATCAGCTGCAGTCTAAAACACCAGCATCTAAGCCATTGCTTAAGCCACAGTGTTAGAAGAGAGAGGTGAAGATTTTCTTTTGTGCCAAATTGATGCTAGCACTCCTCTCAGTGAAGGAGAGATAACAAGTTCTAATAAAACCACTTTTCAGCTTCACAGATACAGCTTTCCTCTGCTTCCTCTACAAAATACCTTCCCTGGCTGATGCTATCCCTCCCTGTCTGTGAGAGTTTGTGGGAGCTGTGCTCAATGTTCTGGGATACACTGTGAGCTGTTCAGACCCGTGCACTTTCTCACTTAATAGGAAGCTGCTGTTTGTTGCTCCTCCTGGTTGCCTCCAAGAAACCAAAGGCTTTGATGTTCAGAAGGTAAATACAAGCAGAGCCGGGAGAGGCTGTTGGAGCCGTCGGCTACACCTCTTTGTGATCTCTAAAAATATGTGAGAGGAGATGCTGTTGCTCCCAAATACAGCTGTGAGCTCGTTGGGGCAGGGATCGCAGCTCAGGTGCAGGGAGCACCCTGTGTTATCCCTTCCTGTTGTGGCTCAGGGCGTAGGAGACGGGCTGTTCAGCTGGGGCAACCCATGAGCTCACTGCCTGTTTTGTAGGATAAGTCATCTCCAGCAGTGTCAGCTTCTGTTCTGTTCAAGCTCCCATGCTTGTGTTGGAAGGATCTGTCTCTTTTGAGAGAGGTTTTTCTGGTAGTGCCTAGGACTTCTGCACGTGCTACCTGCTCCTGCTGTCATTGGCTGCCTGCAGGGGATGTAGGTTGGGGTGCTCTGCTCACAGCAGCCCAGAGACTCAGCAGAAAATAGCATGGAAAATCTAGTTGATGTCACCAGTGACAGGTGTGGATTAGGTCTCATCCTTTTGTTTTGAAAACACCATTTTTCTCTCTTTTCTTGTGAAATCACCCCTGCATTTTGGCTTAACTAGCACGTTGGAAGGATATGGAACAGGATGGGTGGAAAGCAATGCTTGAGTGAAATCTCTGCCAAGGTAAGAACGGATATAAAAGAAGGGGGGCGGGCACTGGAGAACTTGGAGTCGGATAGAATTGCTCCAGAAACTTCACTAATAATACCCAATCCTTGACACCAAGCCCTTAAAAAGCAAAGCCAGGAATTTGTGAGGTGAGTACAAAATGCTGACAGCAGGAAGCCCCTTCAGGTAGTTCTAGCTACAGCTTTGCTGTCAAGGCTACTATTCCCTAACAGATCTTGGGGGCGTATAAAATCCTTTGGTAGGACTTCCTAGGCAATGCTTGGGGACCCAGGGGCATTTCTCAATTGAAATATGAAGGGTTATTCAGCAACATTAAAATGAAGCTTCTTCAAAGCCTAGGCAAGGCAGTAAAGCCTTTATGCAGAGTATACAAGGCTTTACGACTCGCTGTCACTAGGAGCAGGACGGCGTGCTGGCAGGAGCTGGCCCTTTACCTGTCTACCATGAACATTCATTCTCATAATTAATCGAGGCAAACATTTAGGGCAAGATTTTACAGCTAACAATATGAAGTTTAAGCTGATATCTGCTGAAGATTAAGGTGAGAGCTGATGTCGGGGGAAGATTATCTCATGTCTATCTCCCTCTCGAGTATCCGAGCAGAAGGAAGCCAGGGCTGCTGGCACACGAGATGTGGGCCGGTGCTGCTGCTGGGAGGATGGCGAGCGATGTCCGGGGCGAGTGTGTGCGTGGTGCTGGCCTGCTCCTGCCACGTGCTGCCTGCCTGCTTTCTGCTCTCTCATCTATCAATGTAATGATGCCCATTACATTTCTCCTTTCAGGTTTTACCCTCCCAAATGTTATTCCACAGCACTAAACCCGTGGGGGAAGTGAATTATGGGGGAAAGTAACTAGATATAATCCAGATTTAATGGGCACGTAGAAGAAGCACACTGAGTTGGGAGGTTGGCTCAGCCAGCATCCTGCTTCTGCAGGCAAATAGAAATTTATCTTGATGTGTGTATGTATCTGGCTTCATGATCTGTGAGCTCTTAATAATTGGTTTGGTGACCTGCTGGCTGTGTTCTCTCTCTGTAGAGCTTTCCCTGGTCCCCAGTTAATATAATGGGTCACAAATCCCATTTGCTTTTGAATTCTGAGTAATTCGTTTGTTAATGCTGCCTATTGCTTTTCTAGAAGCATTGGAGGAAATCGGAGCCATGTGCTAATCAGTAAATCTGGTTCTGTGTGTTTGTAAGCTGCTGCCCTGCCCTGCCCACCTTTTCCAAATGAGCGGGGCAGCCTATTTGTGTCAGACCCAGCGTGCCCCTCGGCAAAACAGCAATTGTTTCCTGAGCTGTGGTATTAGCAAAAGGCACAGGCTGTGAATGTTGGATGAGCTTGAGGAAAGCAGCAGGGCGTGATGTGGAGCGGGCTCCCATCAGGACCCACTCTTCCAGTCCTGTTCCACCAGCACTCATGGCTCAATGTCCAGTCATGTCCCCTGTGCAGAAATAGGGAATGTGGTGCAGGAAAAGGTGCCCTTCCAGCAGCTTACTAGATCTAGCAGGGGCTGTAGGCAGTGAGCAGGATGGATATTGCCTGTCCCAGACCCTGCTGGTCTTCATATCAGTTAATTTTCTCTGCCTGGAAACAGGCCTGTAGTGAGCTATAGCTGTCCTGCCTGCTCTCCTGTCTTTGTGTGTAGGTAGGTACTCAGAGCCCTTTCAGAGGGACAAGAAGCTTCCAGGTGACCAGTCCCTAAAGTGAGCACAAGTCTATCCCTGCTGAAGGGAGATGAGGGAGAGTATTAGCCTCTCAAATT